AGTGCTAACCCCACATCCATCTCTCCTCCTTTTTCAACCAGGTGTGGGACTGGACTACAGAGGACTGGCCAGAGGCACCAATAGGACATTGTTTCAGAGGGTTGAGATTGGTAGGCACATATTTCACCTCCCAGACATATACTCTGCCAGAATAGCGGTAGAATGGACACCACAGATGGAAAAAGAAAACAGGCCAAGCCAAAGAATATGTGGTAAAAGTAGATTTAAGGAGGACCTTCAAGAGCACAACATTACCTAGAGCAAAACAGAATGCAATAGATTGGGACTCATGGCAGAATCTTACTGCCCAGAGGAATTATATCTGAGTTTGACAAAGCACCTGAAAACTTAAACTTTTTGATTTGCTCCACAGATGCAGTTGATCTACTTAGTGTTCCCAAAATCGTCTTTTTAATTTCAAGGTTGAAAGATGGAGAGTGAGGGGTTAACTCCCTTGCTAATAATAGCTACTGAGGATGTTCTTAAGCAGCTGTGTCATGATGACAGCATATCACCTAACCTTGACCCAAGTGTATACAGTTCCAGGGATGTCCTGTCTTATCATCTCTTGTATATAATTTAATGAAGGTTTTTGATGTTCGTTGATGTCAATACCTCCTGTCAATAATCCAGACCTGGTCATATAACATAGAGGTATGTGATAACCATAGATAGTCATAGGGATATACAGCATGGAAACAGACCCTTCAGTCCAACTTGTTTACGCCGACCACATATCCTGTTTAAATCTAGACCAATTTGCCAGCATTTGGCCCATATCCTCTAAATCCTTCCTATTCATATACTCATCCAGATGCCTTTTGAATGTTGTAATCGTACCAGCCTCCACCACTTCGTCTAACATGCACCAATCCTGCATGAAAAAGTTGCCCCTTAGGCTCCTTTTATATCTTTCCCCTCTCACCTTAAACCAATATCCTGTAGTTTTGGACTGCCCCATCCCAGGAAAACATCTTGCCTGTTTACCCTATCCATGCTCCTCATGATTTTATAAACCTCTATAAGGTCACCCCTCAGCCTCTGACACTCCGGCGAAAATAACCCCAACCTATTCAGCCTTTCCCCATAGCTGAAACCCTCCAATCCTGGCAAGTTCCTTGCAAATCTTTTCTGAACCCTTTCTAGTTTCATAACATCCTTCCCATAGGAAGGAGACCAGAATTACATGCAATAATCCAAAAGTGGCCGAACCAATGTCCTGTACAGCTGCAATATGACCTCCCAACTCCTACACTCACTGCACTGATCAATAAAGGAAAGCATCCAAATGCCTTCTTCACTATCCTATCTACCTGTGACTCAACTTTCAAGGAATTATGAACTTTCACTCTAAGGCCTCTTTGTTCAGCAACACGCCCCAAGACCAAATCCACAGATCTGGCAGGAAGTGGCAAGTGAGAACTTGAAGAGAAACCCAGAGCTTGCATTGGTGAAAGATGAGGCCAGCCCAGCAATCTGACCACAGAGAGATAGAAAACTGAAGAGAAACTGAATAGCAGTGTAATGCACCAGACAAAAGACTTTAAGGCCAACTTTGTCACTGGACAACAGAAAAGGAAACACAACGGTAACAAAGCAGAGAAAAAGTCTGTCCTGGGGAAGCTAAAAAAAAAGTCAGCCACAGTGAGTAATAGGCCACAGTAGATTAAAGGTCTCCGCAGAAATGGAAAAACCAAAGCATATAGAAAGTCAATTTTCAAAAAGTAGGTAAAGTAACAGGACCCATACCATACCCAATGGTAGAGTTTTGCCCACCCAATATTACTGAAGTTTATAAGTGCCAGAAGAGAGGCCATTTCAGGAGAGGCAGTACAAAGAACTAAGAATAGATCATAGAGTTATACAGCATGGAAACAGACTCTTTGGTTCAACCAGTCCATGCCAACCATATTCCCAAACTAACCTGGACCCCTGCATGTGCTTGGCCCATATCCCCCTGAATATTTCTTCTTCATGTACTTATCCAAATGTCTTTTAAATGTTGTAACTGTACCCGAATCCACCACTTCCTCAGGAAGTTCATTCCACACAAGCACCACTCTCTGTGTGAAAAGGTTGCCAGTCATGACTTATTAAAATCTTTCTCCTCTCATCTTAAAAATGTGCTCCTAATCTTGAAATCCCCCACCCTAGGGAAAAGCCACCTGTAATTCACCTTATTTATACCCTTCATGATTTTATAAACCTCTATAAGGTCACCCCTCAAACTCTTACGCTCCAGTGAAAAAAGTCCCAGCCTGCCCAACCTCTCCTTATAACTCAAACCCTCCATGCCTGGCAACATCTTGGTAAATCTTTTCTGAACCATCTCCACTTAATAATATCCTTCCTATAACAAAGTGACCAGAACTGGACATAGTACTCCAGAAGCCTCACCAACATCCTGTACAACCTCAACATGATGTCCAAACTCCTATACTCAAAGGTCTAAGCAATGAAGGCAAGCATGCTAAATGCCTTTTTAATCCTACTCTGTCTACAGGTGATGCAAACTTCAAAGAATTATATATCTGAACCCCTAGGTCTCTCTGTCCTACAACACTATCCAAGATCACAATAGTCTGGATTTGAAAATGCTGTGGAATGGAATAAATTCTTCTTGGAAGACCTAACAGACTCACTACAGGATTTTGGCTCCCCTAATTCCATCAATTCTGTCAGATTCCATATTGTGGTTCAGGCTGAGAATTCTCATTCTAATCTTCATCCAAATCAGAGGGAAGAGGCAGATGTATGGGACAGAGTAATGGGTCAATGTAATGGGACAGAGCTCACTAATACTTTATATGTCATTCCAAATCTTTTTTATTAAGTACAAAAGGGGTTATTTAACTGAGAAAGTCAACATTCAGTTGTCTGAAAGCACAAGAAGGAGGCTTTGATTTTTAGAACTGTGAATTGAAGCATCCGTTAAGCTAGACCCTATGTGTGATAGAGAAAATAATTATCTCCCTAGCACGAGTTCTATAAAGGAGTGCTTTTGTGGTTAATGGGATTGTATTTAAACATATGTTTTGAACTCTTGAAACTTGTGTTATATAAAAATATTTTGGTTTATTTGGTTTTATTCTTCATTTCTTTTGCCTTAATAAATTTCTGTTTTATTGTTGAACTGAATCTGCAGCATTGTATGTTTGGTGTTTCAGTGAAAGCACCTCTTTAAAACCAAAAGAAAAATCCATCAAGCCAGATTTCAGGCTGGGATCTGACTTGTCCAGTAAATATCAGCTGGGATCATAACAATACAGATTTGCTAAGGAATGAATTTCTCTAGATTTCAACTAACTGTAAGGTGATAGTGAATAGATGGAATTTTGTTTTGCTTTGTGTTTTGAACCCTTTCAATCAGTTATATTTAAATAGCTTGAGTTTTTTTTTAAATTTGTGTCAATAAATTTGTTTTATTATTAAAACCAAATCTATAGCCTTGTATTTCAAACCTGAAAGGCTGAATGGATTACTCCTGCTCCTATTTTCAATGTTTCTAGGGTCAGCAGCAACAGATTACTGGAAAAGAAAATAACTGACTGTTTTCAGACTTGAGTTACTCTGCTGCACAGAGGTAGTGACAGGCCCTGCTTGTTCCTATCTGGAGACCTGTTTTTTTTTTAATTAATATATTTTTCTAATCAACCTGCAGAGATGTAATTACACATCTCTGGAGCAGATGGGACTCGAAACTGGGCCTGCTGGTCCTGCATAGGGACACTACCACTGTGCTTCAAGAGGGCCCCAATTGGAGACCTTCTACCTCTGTATCATTCACAGACACCACACACTAGTTGTTGATTTGAGTGTTGTTGTCTGGCAGAAACTCATCAAAAACCTTTTGCTGCTACATCTAACTCTACATACATACATGTACACACACACACACACACACACAGAGACATGCCATGCCATATTACATCTCGTTCCCATTGCTTGCAAAGCAAGTGTAAACACAACCCACAATATGTTCCAGTAACTTGTTTTTAAAGTGCAACAATTTCTTCCTCAGATAAAGGCAAATTACTACAGATACTGCAAATCTGAAACAAACAGAGAACACTGGAAAAGCTCAGCAGGTCTGGCAGCATCTGTGGAGAGAGAAACAGTTAACTTTTTGAGTCTGGTGTGACTCATCTTCATTATTCTTCTGAAGAAGTCATTCTGGATTTGAAATGTTAATCCTGTTTCTCTTTCTAGAGATGCTGCCAGACCTGACTCAACTATTCAAAAGCTCCCCAGAACAATCTCACATCCTCCATCTAAATAAATGTTAGTTAATCAAAATCTGTGTTGGACACATCTTAACTTGTACTGAGTTCCATTTCCTCATCAATCCTGTGTTCATTGACCTACACTGACATATGGTCTTGTAATGCCTTAATTTTCAAATTCTGATTTCTGGATTAAAATCCCTCAACATCCACTCCTCACTAACTCTGCAACCTCCCTCAGCTCTACAACCCGTCAAAATCCTTCTCCTACTTTAGTACTAGTCCATTAAAGATCCCCTTCACTCCAGCATTGATGACTACATCTTCAAATGTCCAGGGCCTAAGTTCTGGAATTACTTCCCATGCCTATTTGCCTTTTCCTTTTCTTTTAAGACTCTTTTGAAACCTAGTTTATTCCACAAAGCTTTTGGTTACCAGTCGTAATGTCTCCTCCTTTGACACATTGTAAGTTTCTGTCTGGTTGTGGTTGTGAAGAAACTTGGGATGTTTTACAAGATTAAAGGCCCAAAATAAATTAAAGCTGTTGTTATTAAAACTCTGCTCCAGGAGAAGATATTGATTTGACTGTATCCATAATTTTGAAGATAATAATCTGTTCTTTCCCTCACATTCATCTTTGCAACCCATCCTCTGCTAACACTGCAATTGGAGTCCGTATACTCCTATTCTTTGCTATAGTCTCAACACAGTTCTCAATGTGACACAAATAATAAGCCATTCAAGAAAAATGGAAGATATCTGAGGAAACTCGGTCAGTGCAGTTCTGCTAGGAATTTATTCACAATCTTGCAATACAGGCTTCCAATAGATGTGGCAGAGACATTCATAACTCAAGATGACCAAGAAAAAAATTACAAAGTCAAGAACCATTTTAAATGACAGAAAATATTACATCCTATGAAAACTTCCTAAATCACATAGTTTTAATTAACATCTTTATTAAAACAAATTGTGACATTGCAAATTGTTCATTCATCAAAGCAAAGCAAATTGTAACTATATTTTTAAAAAAGATCACTAATGCGGACAGTAATAATTTGTACAGGAAAGAGTAATTATGCAACTGGAAATCCAACAGCATTAATTAACCAGAGCAATACCAAGTAGAGTCCAGAATCAGAACCTTTTCTAAGAGAATACAAGAAGGGTAAGAAATTAAACAACTTGAGGGACAAGCACAACAGTAAGGAATTTTTTTGTAAAGTGTATCTCAATATAGCATTTCCGATTAAACTAAGATATAACTTGTACAGTTTCGCCCACTTCAATTGCCTGTAGTCTTGGCAGGTACTTGTAATCTTGGATGTGGGAAGGATTAGCTCCAATGTAATTTTCCAAATGTAAGTATCAGAACAAGAATGTTTTCAACTTGATCCTATATGACTAGATTATGATAGAATGTATTCTGTACGAGGTAAGCACTGCTTTGCATTTGAGGTTTTTGGAACAGAGTAGTCAACAATTTAAAGTGAAGGTCAAAAACTGACCACAGTCTTTCAATGCTCATCTCTCAAAGTACTTTGTCTCATTAGGGCAACAAATTTTATTTTTAATAATTTCAATATTGTTGCCACTGTTAACTGGTAAACTAATCAAAATATTTATAACCATATAAAAAGTCCTTCCTCCTGTTCATTGCAAGTTTACTGTTCACTATGCTTTTGTATTGAAACAAAAATACTAATTTTATGGCTAGAGATTCTTTCATAAAATTTGGATACTAATTAATTTTGCAACTGGGGAATTTTAGGAAAACCACCCTGAAATTTGATTCAACTGCTTGCACTGTGAAGTAGACCATCTGTTGGCATCTCCAGAATTCAAGCTCGTTCTCATTCAAACCAGCTAACATCTCATGTTTGAAAGATATTTCATTTGAATAAAAGTCCTTGACTAAAACAGGCTAACTTCATGACTAGGAGTGCATGCAGATCTATACATAAAGACAGCAAGTGTTTGTTTATTGTGAGCCATCTTCCAACTCAAGCATTCAAATCTGGCCTGCTGCCTCACATAATTGTATTGCCTCTTTGTCCCTACCCTTGTCACATAAGCTAATATGTCAGCCCACAGCTAGAAGCTCCAAATTTATTCCTCAATGACATATTTGATTTTGGGAGATGCATACCACTTTCATTTTGGCTACAATAGACTAATCGTTCTGGTATTCTTCCTGCAGGTCCAACTGCAAGCGAAAACTAATATCTATCCTAATCTTGTCAGAGGTTTCCAGCATTAAAACATGGAGCTCATCGCCCCTTCATCTGCCTTTCTCCATTGGTAACAATTTCAAGCCAACAGTCTAAATTTCCAGTACTCACTTTCTTACATAGTTCATTTGTAACAAAACATTGCAGCAGTAAACAGAAGTGGGGACAAAATTTACAGTCATCCTCAAAATGTTAATGGCTCTAAGGCAGCATTGGAGTCTAAGGTGAGAAGATTGTCTCTTTGGCAAAGCAGCTTTAATGGCCAATATATAACGTGATTGGATACACATGTCACAACAGCACCACAGAGCCACTTGGGCATGAATCAACAAGAAGAGATGGTGTAAACTAGCTAGACAGAAGATATTCTTCCCTTATGTATGTGATTTTACAATCAGCTTGCTCTGTCTATTAACATTAACAGACAATTCCAAAAACTAGCCAAATATTAATCACTTCAGAGGTGTTTATTAGTAGAATTTGAACTGTAAATTATTTATTGAGTTTCTAAGTCAATTTTCTGACACAGTGCTACTCAATGAGACGTATTTGTTATTGGTGGATCAGTACTTGGTGTAAATACATGTTTATTATTTCATTGAGCACGTTGTCAAATGTAGGTTGAGATATATGGAATTTGTGATCTAATATGTTTTTGGCTTTAATTATAAATATTTACAGATGTGCAGATTTTAAATTGTATACCCTATCTCGGGCTGTGAGCTAAAGCAATAACAACTAGGCATACTCCAATACTAATCTCCTATAACTAAAGGTCGAATATTCCTCTGGTCTTGAGAAATTCCAATCTGTGCACTTTTACAACTTACAAACTGCATGACTGATCCATGTGTGACTTCACACATCATTTCTGTCTTTCACAGGCGTTAGGTTAACAGTACTGTTCACGAGCCACATTGGAGTGTGAGAGGACTGTGGATGTGGATGTGGGCAGTTATAATGCCTGCCTCATTTCTCCAACATAGTATCCCAGCTTCCAATAATGTTTAAAGGCCCCCTAAATCTCATCCTTCAACTCCCTCACCCAACTCTCATGCCAGCACATGTCACCTCATACCTCCCATGCTAACTCAGCCACCCTCTACACTCACTCACCTGATATGTACAATTTACAGTCCTTAGATTCCATTCAATGTCAATGGAAAGTATTATGCAGTCTTTACGGAAGCAAAAAAACCTCACCATATATTAAAATCCCCATATCATTGACATTCGGGAAACAAACTGCATTCTGCGATATGAAATCAAAACTGTGTAATTCTTGCAATCCTGTTCACGTGTCAAAACAGCAGAAATCACATCAAAGGTTGTGATTCTTGAAGCAATAATTTATTCTCAGAAGAATGGAACATCTACGCTAAAATTCATTAGCACTTGAGCCGGAATATTGCATTGATAATTGCAATGGCTGTTCAAACAATAGCTTCTCATTGGGAACAAAAGAATTTGTTCACTTCAATTCCAACGCAATGCGTCTGTCAATCAAAATAAGGGAGCAGGTAGTTAGATCTTTTTGTCAAATGTCAAAGTGTAATAGAACATCTGATAACACAGGGTGACAGGACATCCAATAATGTTTTTCACAGCATTACTGTGCTTTCTTCATTGGAAAAGTATATAATGCACGTGAATAAATATACAATGGATCAATTTACTTTTAAAAGATATTTCTTTCTGATGAATAACTGCATGGAAACACATCTGCGTTACAATAGCATTTGGGGTGTGAAACCATGAATTTACCTTTCAGAAAGTTCCAGACTTCTCACAAAACTTTTTATTTTATTCACAACTCCCAAATCTGGAATGTTTTAAGTGGCTTGCTAAAGTGCTACACCACCAGATGAAAATGGTGTGTGGGGCAAAATCTAATACTCGTTCCTTATTTACCACCTTGTGGGGGGTGGCTTGGTGTGGCTGGGGGAGTGGGGTGATGGCTGGCAATCTCTAGGCAATGTCCTGACCCAGAAAAATGCCAGATAAAATTGTGCAGGGATAGCAACGCATAGCAAAGCTTCAGATTTCTTAGGAAAAAATTAAGTGTAGCTATTCCCACATGGACACCAGACTAAAACCTGGCGCTGAGTTTTCAGTTTCTATCATCCATCAATGTTACAGGTTGGTTACATGTGCAAGCAATTATCCTACGTAGTAAAATAATATCAACCATTTAATTTGAAATTGTTGGCAATGCAGATGTTGGTTTAGACATTCCTGAAGTTTTGGTTTGAGAAGGTGATGATGACCCATTTTCTTAAGTCACTATAGTCTTTGTGCTTTAGGTACCTTCCATGGCTCCCCATAGTTTTGCTGGAGAGGGAGTTCCACAATTTTGACCAAGTGTCAGTGAAGCAATGGTGACAAATTTCCAAGTCAGGATGACGTGTTTCTTTGGGAAGCAGATGGGGGAGGACTTGCATTTGGTGATGTTCACATGTGTCTCCTTGGTTTTCCTTCTACTTTACAGATTTGTAAAGTGATGTTGAAAGAGCCTTGGTGAGTTGCTGCAATGCAACTTGTAGATGATATGTCGTTGCCATGGTACATCCAATGATGGAGAGAGTGAATATTTCTGAAGATGGGTGGATGGCAATGAAGCAGTAGCAGAAATCCCAGCTGCCAGTGGTTGTTGGAGCCACTGACAATTGGCCCAGTTACAGTTCTATAGATCAAAACCCCCAGATGATGGTGGGGGTATCCAGAGATGGCAATAAATGTAACGACATTAAATTGTAAGGTGGTTAGATTCTCTCTTGCTGGAGACAGTCATTGCCTGCTACTTGTGCGGCGCAATGTTGTTTGCCACTTATTAGCTCAGCTTTAAAGTTTCCAGATCTTGCTGCATGTGGACACATGCTGCTTCATTATCTGAGGAGTTATATATGGGTCTAAACACTGTGGAATCATCAGTGAAATTCTGTCCTTATGTTGAACTGAAGATCATTAATAAAGCCATTGAAGATGGTTGAGTATTGGACACTGCCTTGAGGAACTACAGCAATAATTTTCTTTTGCTAAGATGATTTGCTTCCAACAATTACAATCACCATTCTTTGTGCAAGGCATGATTCCAGCCAGTGAAGAGATTTCCCTGCTTCACATTTACTTCAATTTTACTTGGGTTCCTTGATGCAACACAGTCAAATGCTGCCTTGTATTCAAGGATGGATACGAGTCACCCCTGGAATTCAGCTCTTTTGCCCATGTTTGGTTGGAGGCTTGAATACAATTTTAAGCAGAGTAGATCTAATGGAACCCAAATTGAACATCGGTGAGCGGGTCATTGGTGAGTAAGTGACACCAAACAGCTATGTCAACAATATCTTCAACTACTTTGCTGATAATTGAGAATAAACTGTTGGGACTGTAACTGGTTGAATTGTTATTTGTTCTTTATTTTGTGAACAGGATATTCGCAGGTGATTTTCTGCATAGTTAGGTCTGGTGTTGTAACTGTATTAAAACAGATTGTCTACAGCCAAGCATGAAGTCTTCAGTCTTGCAGCTGGATGTTGTCAGGCCCATGATCTTTGTTGTACTCACAGCACTCATCCATTTAATATTGTGTAGACTGAAATTAATTGGCTAAAAATGGCATCTTCAATGATGGAGACCTGAGTGGGAAATTGAGAGGGAACATCCAATCAACACATTCAGTTGAAGATGCATCAGCTGCCTTTTGCATTGGGATGCTGGTCTCGACTATTGTCCAGGTTGAAGGTGTTCATGGAGTCGCTTCTGTGTCACTAGCTATTAATATTTACAATTTGACGTGATAGGACTGTAGAACCTTGATCTGATCCATTGTTTCTGGGAACACTCAACTCTATCAATAGGATGCTTACCCATTGTTTACTTTGTTTGAAGCCCTGTATTATTGCTATACTAATTTGATACCTTGAATTTAAATATGTATGGTGATGAGTCTGTTATGCTGTCCTATCCTCACTAACCAAATGCGGTTAATGGTAATGGCAAGGTGAGAGATGTAGTGGAATACAGTTCTGCTGCTGCTGAAGGTCCTTGCATATCAGTTCAGTCACGATGAAAGTTCTTCAATTAAATTTGGCATTTTTGTGACTTGCTAAGATTGTTGCTCTTTTAAACAAGCATTGTTGCATTTATAATGCTCTCATTTCAGTTGTTTCATATCATAGAGTCCCTAACAGTGTGGAAGCAGGCCATTCAGCCCATCGAGTCCATACCGACCCTCTGAAGAGCATCCCACCCCTCTAGCCTATTCCTGTAACCCTGTATTTCTCACAGCTAATCCATCTAGCCTGCACACCCTGAACATTATAGGCAATTTTTCTTTTAAGCATGGCCAATCCACCTAAACTACACATCTTTGGACTGTGGCAGGAAACCGGAGCACCCAGAAGAAACCCACACAGACAAGGGAGAATATGCAAACTCCAATCAGACAATCACCAAAGGGTGAAATTGAACCCAGGTCCCTGGTGCTGTGAGGCAGCAGTGCTAACCACTGAGCCACTGTGCCACCCTGTTTAAATCCCCAGACATTCAGTCACAAGCCAGAGATGCAATAAATCCAGAGTTTTACACTTTCTGGACATGCAGCCACTTGCATGTACTGATAGCAGTTGGATACATAAGCATTCCCAAAGATACAATCCTTCTAGGTCCTGACACAATTTATATGCAATTGTCCAGAAAGCAGATATCAAATAATGGCCATGGGACAATTAGCTAAATGTTAAATGAATAAATATGGTACCATATTTCCATGTGAATAGAATCAATCCCTGACAGTCATGTGATCTGTTGGCAGGGAGCACGCAAGGATATTTAAGACCGTTAGATAGAGATGGGTGGTTTGGTTTTAAGCATAATGATTGGACAGTTTCTGTATGCACATGTAATGATATGACTTGATCTTTTGCTGGGTACTGTAAACTACATTATTACGAGGCATTTGTTCATTTATAATTGCATTTATGCCATGATCACTAAGGCCATGAGGCAAGGAATTCAAGCATCACTGAGCACATCTTTGAATAGTGATTTACTCAGCATCCGACTGAAATCTTTATGGTGCATTACTGCAAAAAACATGAACTACGATTCAATAAATCTAAACGCGTGGGAGGGAAAGGTAGTATAAAATAAGGAGAATAGCATGAACAACAGTGAGCTTTGACACACAATCAGATGTTTTGAATTTCCAAAATTTTTGAGAATGTTGCAGCCTAATCTCAGTCTGGCTATTATCTGATTAATTCTGTAATTTCCCAATATTATGCTCTTCATGACTCAGATATGATTTGTACTTAGACTATGCTCACAACCACAGTTCAAAAAGAAAGTATTGTTCTTTTGAAAAGTTAATTTTAAAGGAATAGGAAATACTCTTAAACAGAATTCAGAGTCGTTTGGTTGCTGTAAGATACTCTCCACAGAAACCAAGTCTGGCAAAGTTAAGTTACTACTCCAGAATTGTAAGGTAAAAGCTATTTCACATGGTAAAAAGCAGTTCCCCCTTAGTTTGTTTTCCTTATTTTTATCTCTCAAGTACTGCAATATTATCCCAAAGATTCAACAGTGAATTAACGCTCCTCTGAATTGCCACATCTTGAGGGAAGAACAGTCTCTGTGACTGTGCACATAACTTGGGCTTCCCTGGATCTTGCACTGCCCATGATAAGCTGCAAACAATGCTGAGTTACAGTGAGGTGGACGGCAGCTTTTTAAGTTCTCTGCGTTGAGCTAAAGTTGATGCCTTCACAGACTCCAGTTTTGGTGCTGGCGGGGAGCTGTTCAAGGCTGAGAAGGTGGCAGCCATTGCTCCCTGAGAAGAAAGCACAAAAAATCTTGTTAAAAAAACACCCCTTACATGAAGCAGATTTCCACACAAAATACATGAACTTTTACAGATTTAAAGTCAGTTGCCTCTTCACTGGGGCTAACTATACAGTTTTGAAAACACCTTGACTATTATGTCAAGGCTACTTCAGAAGCTACTGATACCCAGTTAATTGAAAGAATCGATGCCACTGTTTTAAGGAACGTACATACTTCTACCTCAGTGGGTAGAAATATCACAACACCTGACTGACACACATTGTATGTCAGCAAACAGCTCAAATGTTTGCTTTACTTTAGCAGCAGTGTTGTTGGATGCAGAGATCAAATTGGACATTGTGCGAAGGAAACTGTATCTCACAAACTTGATTCAGTTTTTTGAGGAAGTAACCAAAAAGACTGATGAGGACAGAGCAGGAGACATTGTTTGCTTGGACTTTAGTAAAGCCTTTGATAAGATTCTGTATGGTAGACTGATTAGTAAAGTTAAATCACATGGGATTCAGGGTGAGCTTGCCAATTGGATACAAAATTGGCTTGATGGTCGGAGACAGAGGGTTGTGGTGGAAGGTTGTTTATCAGACTAGTGGCCTGTGACCAGCGACGTTCCACTTTTGTCTGTCATTTACATAAGTCGTTGGGATGAGAATATAGGAAGCATGTTTAGTAAGTTTGACACCAAAATTGGACAGTGAAGAAGGTTATCCAAGATTAAAAAGAGATCTTGATCTATTCAGTGAATGGGCTGACAAATGGCAGATGGAGTTTAATTTGGATAAATGTGAGATATTGCATTTTGATAAAACAAACAAGGAAAGGACTTATACAATTAAAAGTAGGGCCCTGCGTAGTGCTGTAGAACCAGAGAGACCTAGGCATTCAGGTACATGATTCTTTGAAATTTGTGGCACAGGTAGACAGGGTGGTTAAGAGGGCATTAGCATGCTTGTCTTCATTGCTCAGACCCTTGAGTACAGGAGTTGGGATGTGGTTGAGGTTGTACAGGACATTTGCAAGGCCTCTTCTGGAGTACTCTGTCCAGTTCTGCTCGCGCTGTTATAGGAAGGATATTATTAAACTGGAGAGGGTTCAGAAAAGATTTAACAGTTTGGAGAGATTGAGTTATAAAAATTAGCTGGATAGGCTGGGACATTTTTCATTTGAGCATAGGAGGTTGAGGGGTGACGTTACAGAGGTTTGTAAAATCATGAGGGGTATAGACAGGGTGAATAGCAAAGGTCTTTTCCCCAAGGTGGAGGAGTTCAAAACAAGGGGGCATATTTTTAAGGTGAGAGGACAAAGATTTAAAAAAAGGAACTTGGGGCAACTGTTTTACGCAGCGAGTGATTTGTGTGTGGAATGAGGAAGTGGTGGATGCAGGTACAGTTACACTGTTTAAAAGACATTTGGATAAGTACATGATTAGGAAAGGTTTGGAGGGATATGGGCCAAATGAGGGCAGGTGGGACGCGTTTAGTTTGGGAACATGGTCAGCATGGACTAGATGGACCGAAGGGTTTGTTTCCATGCTGTATGACTCTATGACTCTACGGACAGTTCTGTGACATAAACTTACTAAATTGGCAGTAGCTGGCACCTCAAATTCTGCTCTAAATCATAGTAAAGCTACCAGAATAGGAGAAGATGCCCAGGGAACCCTAGAGGGTGTTGAGAGTATTATCAGTAAGCATATGTATTCACCGATTAAAAATAATTACGTGCCTTAATAAGATGGACATCCTGGCGGGTCAGCTGGCTTTGTGGAAGCTGATCTCGGTTTACAATCCACTGATGTTTCAAGACTTGCTTTGCTGTTAGACGTCGGTGTGGATCAACATGCAACATCTTGGAGACAAGGTCCTGTCAATTGGAAAGTTGTCATTAGGAATGAGTTTTATTTCTCATAATTAACATTAGAAACAAATACTAAGCAGTCTTCAATAAAAACAAATTGATGAATTTTAAGTGAAATATAATAACATGTGTTAAAAGTCTTCTACGAATGCAAGAATATTCAAGGTATCTTATTGAGGAATAATCAGAAAAAAATAGATGCTAAACCAAAAGAAAGAAATATTAAGAGGAGTGGCCAAAGGTTTATTGAGCAGTGGGTTTAAAATGAGCCAGTGAGGGAGAGAAGTATAGAGGGAGGTATTTAAAAGAAGGAATTGCAGCCAATGACACTTCGACAGCTGAAGGCACAACCATCAATTGTGGGATTAAAGGGAGGAATTTAGAAATCAGGAACAGAAAGTAATGTAGGACTGGAGAACATTATAGTTAGGGAGGCTGAATCCAAGAAAAGATTTTAAAATGATGATATGAAATTTAAAGGTGATATCTGAATAGAGAACAGAGTGGCAACAGAGTGCAGTGGATGAGCTCAAGTATACAGTGTGTAAAGAACAAGACTCCATTGAAACAGTTGAGTCAAGAGGAAAGATAACAAGGTATGGAGCGGGAGGAACACAGCAGGCCAGGCAGCATCACAGGAGCAGGAAAGCTGACGTTTCGGGTCTGGACCCTTCTTCAGAAATGGGGGAGGGGAAGGGGGCTCTGAAATAAATAGAGAGGGGGGGCAGTGATAGAAGGTGGATAGTGGAGCAGATAGGTGGGAGAGAAGACGGACAGGTCAAGGAGGGGGGGATGAGAGGGGGGCTGGTCTTGGGATGAGGTCGGGGGTGGGGAGATTTTGAAGCTTGTAAAGTCCACATTGATACTTTGTAGGGTTGTACGGTTCCAAGGCGGTATATGAGGCGTTGTTCCTCCAGTTTTTGGGTGGCATTGTTGTGACACTGGAGGAGGCCCAGGATGGACATGTCGTCCAGGGAGTGGGAGGGGGAATGAAATGGTTCGCGACTGGGAGGTGTTGTCGTTTGTCGTGAACCGAGCGTAGGTGCTCCACAAAACGGTCTCCGAGCCTCCGCTCGGTCTCCCCGATGTAGAGGAGGCTACATCGGGAACAGCGGATACAACAGAGCACATTAGCGGGTGTGCAGGTGAACATCTGTTTAATGTGGAAGGTTTTTTTGGGGCCTGGGATGGAGGTGAGGGGGGAGGTGTAGGGGCGGGTGTAGCACCTCCTGCAGTTGCAGGGAAAGGTGCCGGGGGTAGTGGGGAGTGTGGAGCAGACGAGGGAGTCAACCCCCATCCCAACTTCCTACCTACACTCACCTTTACTAGCTTCATCCCTGCCTCCTTGACCTGTCCGTCTTCTCTCGCACTATCTGCTCCACTATCCACCTTCTATCACCGCCCCCACCTCTCTATTTATTTCAGAGCCCCCTTCCCCTCCCCCATTTCTGAAGAAGGGTCCAGACCCGAAACATCAGCTTTCCTGCTCCTCTGATGCCTGCTGTGTTCCTCCAGCTCCATACCTTGTTATCTCAGACTCCAGCATCGGCAGTTCCTACTATCCCTGAGTGAGTCTGAAGGAATTTTTTGATGCATATGTCACTGTCAGGGCTGGAGGAATGCACTGTTACTCTAGTCCCACTACTCCACCAATCACAATGTAAAAATACTTTTTCCATTATCAAGATGAACAATTAAGTACCTTATCTATAATAAGTTTTCAACAATAAGATCCATCAACCAGGTGTCTCAATAAACACAATTGTTGGTTTATTATCAAACCAAAAGTACAAGACATTGGTAAGGCCACATTTGGAACACTGCATACAGTTCTGGTCACCCTGCTATAGGAAGGATGTTATTAAACTGGAAAGGATGCAAGAAAGATTTACAAGGATGATACCAAGACTGGAGGGGGTTGAAGTCTCAGGGGAGGCTGGACAGACTGGGACTTTTTTTCCCCTGGAGAGTAGGAGGCTGAGGCGTGACCTTATAGAAGTTTATACAATTATGAGGGGCATTAATAAAGTGAAAAGCAACAGCCTTTTCTTTCATGGTAGGGGAGTCCAAAACTAGGGGGCATAGGTTTAAGATGAGAGGGGCAAGACTTAAAAGAGACCTGAGGTACAACTTTTTCACACAGAGGGTTGTAATTATACAGAGCGTGCTGCCAGAGGAAGTGGTACAGGTGAGTGCAATTACATTTAAAAGACATTTGGACAGGTACATGGATAGGAAAGGTTTAGAGGGAAATGGGCCAAACGCAGGCAAATGAGGCTAGTTCTGTTTTGGATGAGTTGGGCTGAAGGGTCTGTTTCTGTGTTGTATGACTCTATGACCCAAAACTTATCAAATAAAGATTAGGTAATAATTCGTCAACATACACAGTCAGTAACAATCAAATATAAATACTTACCTTATTCACTCACCCACCCTCCCTCACTCCCTCAGGAAAAGAGGAACAAAAACAGACTTTCTCTGCAGAGATTGGTCTCCTGAAAGCACAAATGCATTGGACGATGGATTACTCTTGAAGTAAAAATGTTAAGGTGTGGAATATTCAAGAATCTCTGATGTTTTGGCTATGTGGTCAAGTCACTAAGCATGCACGATTGTCTCTGAAGTCTTGCAGACTGGATTTGCTTGAGAATTACAATCTTGGGATGTTCTTTCAAAAGAACAAATAGGCTTCACCCTGAACTCAACAAGATCTGAGAAAAAAACTCTCACACAACAAGTAGTTAGGGTATGGAATGTACTGTCTGGAAGTGTGGTGGAAGCAGTTTCAATCGAGGCATTCAAGAAGATACTGGATGATAGAAAGAACATGCAAAGGTACGAGGAGAAGTCAGGAGATTGGCAATAAGCAATCTGGTCACGATACATGAAGAAGGTTTTTCTATGATTTTGAATGATCTCCCTAAAGTCAGTATGACACAAGTAGTGATGGTGTTGTGGTATTGTTGCTGGACTAGTAATCCAGTGATCCAGATAATGTTGTGGTGATCTGGGTTTGAACCCCCGCCATGGCAAATGGCAAAATTTGAATTCAATTAAAGACTGGAATTAAAATACTAATGACCATAAAACTATTGATCATTGTAAAAATCTGACTGGTTCCCTCATGTCTATTTGCGAAAGAGAAACTGCATCCTAACCTGGTCCAGCTGACATATGAGTCCAGACTCATGACAATGTGGTTGACTTTTGATTACACTCTGAAAGAGGCCACTCAGTTGTACCAACGCTACAAAGAAAGGAATGAAACCAGACGGACCACCTGGCACAGACTAAGGCACTGAAAACATCAATGGCAATTTAAGCCCTGTCAAATCTGTAAAGTCCTCCTTACGTACATTTGGGAGACAGTGCCAAGATTGGGAGAGCTGCCTCTGGACAGGTCAAGCAACAGCCTAACATAGTCATATTCACAAAATCATACACTACAGGCACAAAGTCCCAGATAATGCCAACACCACCCCTGGACATGTCTTGTCCTACCAGCCCGACAGACCGAGCAAAGGTGGCAGCACAGTGGTATATAGTCAGGACTGAATTGCTCTGTAAGTCCCCATGAAGTCTCATGGCATCAAGTCTTACATGAAGAAGGAAACCTCCTTCTGGTAATCACATCCGACATTCTTCCTTGGCTGATTAATCAGTACATCTCGATGTTGAACACCATTTCAGGGACACAATGAGGGTGGCAAGGGCACAGAATAGGTGGGGTACTTCAAGGTCCATCACCAACAGTAGCTCAGCAGCAACAAACTGGTTTAGTCCTAAAGGATACAGCTGCTAGACTGGGTCAGCACTAGATTGGGAGGGAAAAAAACATTCTTGACCACATACTCACTAATTTGCCTCCCAATAGATAGGTTAAGTGAGTAGGCAAAGATCTGGTAAATGGAGTACAATGTGGAAATATGTGAAATTGTCCATTTTTGCAGAAAGAATGAAAAAGCATTATTGGTAGAAGTATGCAGAGCCCTGAGATGCAGAGAAATCTGTGTGTCCTACTGCATGAATTAAAGAATGCCAATCTGAAGGTACAGCAAGCTAATAGAATGAATAATTTCTGAAGAAGGGACCTGATCTGATACATCAGCTTTCCTGCTCCTCTGATGCTGCCTGGCCTGCTGTGTTCCTCCAGCTCTACACTGTGTTGTCTCTGACTCCAGCATCTGCAGTTCTTGCTATCTCTAATGGAATGTTATGTTTGATTGCAAGGGGAACTGAATGAAAGAGTAGAGAGGTTATGCTTCAGTTACTGGTGAGACTGCACCTGGAGTACTGTGACCAATACCGGTCACCTTACTTATGGAAGGATCTTGGTGTGTTAGATGCAGTTCAGAGAAGGTTTACTCAACTATTTTTTGGAATGAGCAGATTGTCTTATGAGGAAAGGCTAGATAGGCTAGGCCCTATCCTCTCAAAGTTAGATGAGTCAGTAGTGACTTAATTTGAAACATAAGGTCCTAAGTGGACTTGACCAAGTGGACGTTGAAAGCATGTTTCCTCTTGAGGTAGAATATAGAATGAGGGATCATAGTTTAATAGTTAGGGGGTGCCCATTTAAAACAGAGATGATGAAACATTTTTTCTCTCAGAGGTCTTTGGAATTCCCTTCCTCAACAGACAGTGGATGTAGATCTTTAAGTATTATCAAGGCAGAGGTAGATAGATTCTTGATTGCAAGGAATGAAAGATTATCAGAGATCTGAAGAGTCGTAGAGTTGAAGTTAAAATCAGATCAGTCATGATTTTATTGAGTGGTGTAATAGGCCTGCAGGACCAACTGGCCTTGTCTTGTTTCTTTGTCATATGGAGACAAAGTCCTTCACACTGAGAATACTCTCCATTGTGTTGGGTAACACTATCACCGTGCTAAATGGGACAGACTTCGAACAGTTCTAGCAACTCAAGATTGCATATCCATGAAGTATGTGGGCCATCAGCAGCAGTGGATTTGTACGCTGACACAATGTGAATATCAAACCATGGATCCAAATCTGATTCAACGAAGAGTGCAGGAATGCATACCAGGAGGCAGCACCAGACACATCTAAAAATGACGTTTCAACCCAGTGAAGCTACAAAACAGGACCATTTGCATGTCAAATAGCATAAGCAAGTGATAGATAGAGATAAATGATTCCACAGCCAACAGATTATTTCAGCTCAGCAATCTTTCCACATCCAGTCATGAATGGTGGTGGGTGGCACAGTGAGGAAAATGGCAAAAAAAAAAGTGAGGAAAACGGCAGGGGGATGGGACAAAATGGATTAATTCTGAGAAGGCAGCACAGTGCAATGGGCTTAATGGCACCCTTCACAGGTATAAGGTTTGTCAGATGAGTCAATAGTTGAATGAACTCTGTACTGCTGCTTCACAATGCCAGGGACCCAGGTTCAGTTCCATCCGGGGACAACTGTCTGTGTGGAGTTCGCACATTCTCCCCATGTCTCCGGGTGCTCTGGTTTTCTTCCACAAGCCAAGGATGAGCAGATTAGGTGGATTGGTCATTATAAATTGCCCACAGTGTCCTTGGATGTGTAAATTTGGTGGATTAGACATGAGAAATGCAGGGTTACAGGGAAAGGGTAGGGGGATGGGTCTGGTGGGATGCTCTTCAGAGGGGCGGTGTGGACTTGTTGCACTGAATGGCCTGTTTCCACACTATAGGGATCCTATGATTCTATGAATTAAACAACTCACTAAAGGAGGAGGCTCCACTAACATCCCTGTCATTCAGTTCAAAAACATCAGTTCAAAAGATAACGTTGAAGCATTTGCAACAATCTTCAGGAAGGAGTACTGAATGGATGATCCATCTCGGCCTCCTTCTGAGGTCCCCAGTATCAGAGATGTCAGTTTTCAACCAATTGATTTGCATTGGCCATGACAACATTCTGGTAATAGTACTGCAGATGTAAACTCAAAAATTTGCCCTAGCCAAACTGTTCTGGTCTGCTTTTCTGTATAGGACACACCTTCTAGATGCCAGTGTTGTAGGTAGACAACTCCAACCCAGCCAATTACTGCCCTATCAGTCTACTCCAGATCATCAGTAAAGCGATGGAAGGTATCATCAATAGTGCTATTAAGCAGCACTTGTTTAGAAATATCTTACTTGCCAATGCTCAGTTTGGTCTCTGTCAGGTCAGCTCATCTCCGACCTCATTCCAGCTTTAATTCAAAGAAGGATAAAAGGAGATCAATTCTAGAGGTAACAAGGTGTAAAGCTGGATGAACACAGCAGGCCAAGCAGCATCAGAGGAGCAAGAAAGCTGACGTTTTGGGTCCAGACTCTTCTTCAGAAATGGGGGAGGGGAAGGGGATTCTGAAATAAATAGGGAGAGAGGGTGAGGCAGATAGAAGATGGATAAAGGAGAAGATAGGTGGAGAGGAGATAGACAGGTCATAGAGGCGGGGCTGGAGCCAGTAAAGGTGAGTGTAGGTGGGGAGTTAGAGAAGGGATAGGTCAGTCCAGGGAGGACGGACAGGTCAAGGAGGCGGGATGAGGTTAGTCGGTAGGAGATGGGGGTGGGGCTTGAGGTAGGAGGTGGGGATAGATGGGAGGAAGGACAGGTTAGCGAGGTGGAGACGAGCTGGGCTGGTTTTGGGATGCGGTCGGGGGAGGGGAGATTTTGAAGCTTGTGAAGTCCACATTGATACCATTGGGCTGCAGGGTTCCCAAGCGAAATATGAGATGCTGTTCCTGCAACCTTCGGATGGCATCGTTGTGGCACTGCAGGAGGCCCAGGATGGACACGTCATCCAAGGAGTGGGAGGGGGATTTGAAAATGGTTTGCGACTGGGAGGTGCCGTCATTTGTTGCGAACCGAGCATAGGTGTTCCACAAAGCAGTCCCCAAGCCTCTGCTTGGTTTCCCCGATGTAGAGGACGCCACATCGGGAACAGCGGATACAGTATACCACATTAGCAGATGTGCAGGTGAACATCTGTTTGATGTGGAAGGTCTTCCCCATCTCCTACCTACCAGCCTCATCCCGCCTCCTGTCCGTCCTCCCTGGACTGACCTATCCCCTCCCTAACTCCCCACCTATACTCACCTTTACTGGCTCCAACCCTGCCTCTTTGACCTGTCTGTCTCCTCTACACCTATCTTGTCCTTTATCCATCTTCTATCCGCCTCCCCCTCTCTCCCTATTTATTTTAGAATCCCCTTCCCCTCCCCCATTTCTGAAGAAGGGTCTAGACCCGAAACGTCAGCTTTCCTGCTCGGCCTGCTGTGTTCATCCAGCTCTACACCTTGTTATCTCAGATTCTCCAGCATCGGCGGTTCCTACTACCTCTGTATCAATTCTAGAGGTGCAGTGAGAGAATGACTGCCCTGGAGATCAAAGCTGTTTTTGACAGTGCAGCATCAATGAACACTAGCAACAGTGGAGTTGTTGGGAATCAGAGGTAAAACTCTGTGCTGGTTGGAGTCCTACCTGGCTGAAACTCGGATGAATTTTTAAAAAATAGGAAGAGGAGGACAGATCTTGGGGACCGATAAGGTTAAAGTCCAGCAGCAGGAGTAACAGCAGTTGCAGGTGATAATTTAATTCTTATTATTTATTTTAATTATTACCATGCTGTAAAACACATACCTTATGCTTATTTATATGGTCGAAGCTACTAGCTTTCTTTAGTACTTAGCTTTAACCTGCTTACCAAAGATTTGTTGGATATATATTTCTGTTCTTGAATACCCAATGGCTTATTATTTCAGGGGGACACTGTAGAAGCCAGACCTCTTCATCAGACCAATTGGAAAAACAAAAGCTCCAATCCCACTCACACAGATCGTAGCAACTGGGCATGCAACAATATTCGCCAACAGGGTTGCATCTACTTTTCCAGTCATAAGTGTGGACAGAAGGAAAAGGTAGAACATAAAAAAGGAAACCATAACTTATGAAATTGTCTCTGGTGTTTTCACACCATACATCACTATCAACTGTTTGATCACAGTGCCTCAGAGGATCCAAAATGCAACTAAGAAAACAACAGAACACAACCTGAAAGAACTGCGGATGCTGTATATCAGAAACTGAGGAAGGGTCACCGGACCCGATACGTTAACTCTGATTTCTCTTCACAGATGCTACCAGACCTGCTGAGCTTTTCCAGCAACTTCTGTTTTTGCTTAAGGAAACAACAGTCACTTAGGAATAACAACAAATTTCTATTTTGAAATATTAATTTAAAAGTGGCTTGAACATTGATAATAAAGTTCCTCATTCACTGTAAATACCACAGGCAAGATGCCTCTGTCCCAAACTGACCTTGGAAGCTGCATAAGTAATTGTCCTCAACACCAGATGCATCTATTTCTGGGCTCTGTTTCTCACGTTCACCTTTTTTGGACTCTCCATTTTCTGCTAATTCACAATTAAATATTGGCAGTTTTATGCTCACTAGAAGTTACTTCAAATTAATTCAAGATAGGACTGTATATCAGCTAACAACAAGGATAGATTTTTCTGGGCGAGATTTAGGAACTGAGTCACACATCAAACCTTTCCCCATTATAATTGTTCTATTGTTTACATTTAAATGTAATTGTAAAATTTGGTAATTTGTTACAGTCCTTTCTCCTAAGGAAAGGGTTGACATCTGTCAATGGGGTCTAACAGAGGAGTGTGGTAGGATTTGAATCATTATCTTGAATATCAACACACTAACACTGAATGTAATTGTAGCGTGATTCATCTTGAAATTGCATTGTTCTCCCATTGTCAAATCTCCTCTATTATCTGCCATTCCCAGAATGAAGATCCAGATAGCTGGGAAACCTGCATCTCAACTTCTCAACAATACTGAAGATCAGCACATCTGGCAGCATGTGTGAATACAGAAACCTTTCAAACTGACCTTTGCAGCAGAAGAGGCTTTGTCCCAGTTTCCACCCTGGAGGTTGTAGTGTCCGCTCCCAATCCTAGCCAGAATCTCACTTGGCGTATCATCGGGACCATTAGCAAAAGGGGTATATCTGATCCAAGATAGCCAAAGAGAAATATAAATTCCGTTAACAGTCAGGTTAACAGTCACTTTGTATGTTCATTAGAATGTATGGAAGAACAGTCAGTTACAGTTATTCCTGGCAGTTTCCCAAAAGCTCTACGTATTGATTTGCGAGGGAACATTATTAGTAACTTATTCCAAAATACAAAAACTGATTCAGGATCTTAATTTCAAGCACATAATTTCAAAATATTTGATGTTTTTAGTTTATCTACCTCTATTCAAAAATGGAACATAACACCAGTGTGAATAGATTGAATGGACCTGCATTCTAGTTAGGAGGCAGCTTTTTATTCCTATCATGATCTGATAAAAATATAGGCCAATTATGTTAAACAGTGACTTTGATTAAAAACTATATGGCAAACCATTGCCGCAAGTTTCAAGTACAGATAAAACATGACTTAGTATGAAAGGATTGTACTTTGTTATAAAAACCAAAAGAACTGTGATTGCTGTAAATCAGGAACAAAAACAGAAGTTGCTGGAAGCTCAGCAGGTCTGGCAGCATCCAGTGAAGAAAATATCAGAGTTAACGTTTTGGGTCCAGTAACTCTTCCTCAGAGAAACATTAACTCTGGTTTTTTCTGCACAGATGCTGCCAAACCTGCTGTGCTTCCAGCAACTTCTGTTTTTGTACTTTGTTATCCTTCTTTAACTTAGATTTTGTATGTTATCAGCTAGTAAGTCTAGTTAAACTGCCTCCAGTCATTACCTCATAACCAAACATGAATAACATTTTGCAGGAAATACTGAACCATCTCCTTCATGAGAGCACCTCTTAGTATTCCAGCTGAAGAGTATAATAGTTTGCCATCTACTTTTGTCAGATAGTTATTAGTGGGGTTGGAAATTCAGAGTGATTTAAATAGCAGCTTTTACAAAAAGCAGATTAAAATACAAATGTTGGTTCTGCAATTTAGGTATTTATCTGTCTTATTAATGCACCCACACATGAATCTGCAGATGCTCAAAGCATTTTACAGCTACTAAATTACATGCCTGAAAGAAACACAGCCATCATCAGGTGCCTTTGAAAACTGAAATGATTTTCAAAAAGATTTACATATTAGTCATCTGCAAACAATTTGCTCAAGTTACACTTACGTGGGAGAAAGAGGCAGACAATTTGTGCATACTAAGATCTAACAATAATGATTTTAATCATGAAAGAATCTGTTTTGTGCTATGTCTGAATATGGGATGTTGACGAAGCAACCATGGAATCTCCTCAGTATTTGAATAATGCCATAAGACACTCAATGCTCACCTCAACAATCAGAGGGCGACAGCTTCATGCCTCACCTGAAGAATGATATCTCAAATCACACCATTTTCCAAATACTGTGTGTTTGAGAAAGATGCCAAATAATAGTGTACATTTTGAAGCACAAGCTTCTACTTAGATGGCAGAGCATCATTAATTGAATTAAACTGACACATAAGGAGAAATTCAACAATGCTGCAGAGAGACAGCAAGATAATTCAACAACAGAAATGTGGTAGCTAATTTTGCTCAAAGGTACCAAACTGCAACTTGTACACAAGCATTTGGAGAAATCATGCCACTGAATTGAAATTATACTTTAATGTAGATTTTATTTTATTTCACAAATATCTTGTGAAGCTTGACACATTTTAATGCAGAACTCCACAACTGTATCATCACTCTTGGATCTGTTGGGGGTTCTGCACAGAACAAAACACTTTCCAGCATCACCATTTGCAGGGATTAACGCACACTCTTGCCTATAATTATCATTTGGTGAGAAGAATAAACAGATATCAGATGATTAAATTGGCAATAAAGGTTTAGGAATTGTTAGTCAAAGACATACCAAGGCTTAGCTGATTTTTCTACCATTTACATGGTGTAACAATTGGTATAATAATAAGGAAATGTTGATTTCATGGCAATCAATTTCTAATCAGTAGTCTACAACCAGAGTAGGAGTAGGCAAGAAAACCCTTCAGTAGTGAAGATTATTGGAAATTATAAGTCTAAAGTCACATGGTTTCCCAAGCATACCAGACTTAACTTCTAAAAATACAAATAGTAAAGTACAACATTAATGAATAAAGGCCACAATTTGTAGCATCTATTTAATATAAACACATAGAAATAAGGACATAGGAAACAGGAATTGGAGTTGGCTTGACCTGTTGGGCTATTGTTACTCAATAAGACTGAAATAACTCCACAGAAGCCAGTATCCTGCCACCAAGCCCCCTTTACATACATATCGAAAGTCCTTGACATTGGTTCAGCTCTCTCAGAGCAAGTTCTCAGGCTGTCAGAATGACTGACGCTCCTCTTTTTATCTGTCAGCCAGGGCTCCCTGATTGGATCAGATTAACAACCCCAATCAGGGAACTCATACTCTATCAGATCCACCTCGCTGAACTTGTTACAACCACTACAAAGTTCACTGCCTTTTATTCTGTGATATGACATTTTCTTCATTAATACAAATCTGGTGCACTGAGTCAAGCATTGTATGATTTGCACTTTTTCTTCAACTACATAAAGTTTATACCACAAAAACAGGTCCATGAGACAGGAAACTGCAGAAATACAACTCTTCTCCCAAGAGGGGGAAATACAATGTGCCACCAGTAAGGCTGTAGGGAATTTCAATATATAATCCCAAATCAATTTCTCAAAGAGTCAAAGACTAGAAAATTTTTGTAGATTAAGTCTAGTAGATTGATAGGCTGCCAGCAATAGTTTATGGAAGTGGTTGAACAAAATTCAGGCTCAATAATTAAAAAAAGCACAGTTTGCACTGTGTGTGTAATTACTGTACGTAAGATTCTGAGAGTGAGGCTTTGCTCATGTGAAAAATTTACATCTTGATCACTTCTAAATGCTTCACAAAAATTACTTATGCAGGCGTAAGAGGCAGGCAATTTGTGTTGAGCAAGATGTCACAAAAATAAATTAATGCTACGATTGTCTGTTCCGTGATGTGTATCAGACTTGTTGAGACTTAGACTAGATATTTTGTTATAAATCTTTTCAGATGTGTTATGGGACACTGTTGGAACAGGTGGAACATGAACCCAGGTTTTTTGTATCACAAGAGCCCTTGAGACTTTGGCTACGTGGTCACAGATTAAGCAAGACTCTAATGAACCAAAAATGCCATCAAATCATACTAGCTGAATTAAAGTGCAGATATATGGACTTGCAAAAATTAGAATTTATTATGATTTACAAAAACAACCCAAGGAGCCCAATAAATAAACTTTTAAAATTAGCTTCAATGGAAGGAGAAAGCAAGAAATCTTAAAACAGAATTGTCTGGTGATATTTGATTCCAAAATATGGCTATACTGACAGGATTCCTCCTTTTACAGCTTCTTGAAGTTTACCTTTAAACCACTTTACTTCTTTGTGAGAAGCATTTTGTCATTTCATTTCCTACCTGTCAAACTAACTGGTGTGTTTTTTTAGTGTGATGCACAAGCACATTGTACACTCAGATACCTGAAAACAGTTTTTGACAATTAGAAGAATGAATCCCCGACATACCCATAAATTTGTCCTGTGGTTCTTGGCTGTTCTTTGAAGCAGAATAGCAATTAACATGTGGCAACATTTTCCAATCAACCTGTTCAGAGATGTTGTTACACACCTCTGGAGCATGTAGGTCTCTGGCTTAGAGGTGGGATGCTACCATTATATGCCACAACAGCCCAGCTAATGTGCTATATGATGATAATGACAGTCGCCTAAGAGTCGTTTCTGCTGAAATGAAATCAATGCAGTAAATATGCTCATGGGGTATAATTATCAAAACACCCATCTATATAGTTGTTGCATGTCAGTAAAAGAAGTCTTTGAAGCTATCAGTTCGACCACCATTGATACTTAGATGTGTCGCACAAAAGACGCTGGAGTAAAATTCACATATTGGGAAATGGTAGCATGACTAGAGAAAATCTGTACAAGGGGAAACTAAAAACAAACAACAGATACAAATATTGAGATCAAGAGTTTGATAAGAGGATCAAGTACAGAACATAATGATAAAAATTTCCACTGGCAGATGGAAGCTTCACACCATTGTCTTTAGTTGTTCATGGGGTATAAGGCAGTATTTATTGTCATTCTTAATTGTCACAGAAGGTGGTGGTAAGCCATTTTTTGAACTGCTGCAGTCCAGTGGTGAAGGCACATTTAAAGTGCTATTAGGGAGGGAGTTCTAAGATTTTGCCCTGGTGAGACTTGAGGTACAGCAATATAATTCCAAAGTCATGATGGTGTGCAAGTGGGGAGGGAGTCAGCAGATCCTGGTGTTCCTGTGGATCTTCAACTCTTGTATTTCTGGGTGGTTGAGGTTACAGGTCTGCAAGGTGTTGTCAAAACAACCTTGAAAAATTGCTACAGTATATTTTGGAGGTGCTACTCAATGCTACCACAGTCTATTGGTGGTAGCACGTTTGGATACTAAATATAAGGCAGATGGGATATCAGAGTTGGAGGCTGCTTTGTCCTGGATGGAATGTGATTTTTGAGTGATGTTGGAGATGCATTCTTTCATGTAATTTGGTAAAATGGATAACAGGCAAAAGATGTGGTGCTGGTTGAAGAAAAAAATGGTTTTCACTTGGTATTTCAAAGTAGTGAATAAAGTGATAAGGACCAGGTGATCAGAGGAAAATGGCAGAGTAGGAGAAATTATTGGAGTCCACAATCAAGTACAGGACAACTGAACACCTTGAAAATTTTCACTTAATCAGGAAGAGTCAGCATGGTTTCATAACAGGTAGGTATACCCCACAAACCTCATTGAAGAGGTGACTATGGTAGTGGACAAGGGAATGTCTATGGATGTTGTTTATAAGGACTTGCAGAAAGCATTTGAAATAGTCCGACATAAGAGACTGTTAACTAAGGTAGTAGCACATGGAATCGAGGGAAAATTATTGACATGGCTAAGAAATTATTTGATTGATAGGAGACAGAAAAAGGGATAATAGATAGGTACTCAAATTGGCAGGATGGAAGCAGTGATATCTCACAAGCATGTGTGTTAGGGCCTCAATTATTCACGTTATTTATAATGACTTGTATAACGGCATAGAAAGTCATATATCCAAATTTTTGATGACACATAGTTAGGCAGTATCGTAGAGAGTATAGATGATAGCAGAAAATTATGAAGGGAAATTGATAGACTAAGTGGATGGGCAAAACTGTGGCATGTAGAGTTCAATGTAAGCAAGTGTGAGGTTATCCATTTTGGACCCAAAAGAATAGATCAGAGTACTTTCTATCTGGTATGAAGCTAAATGCATAACTTATGAATGTCCAAAGAGGCTTGGGGGTTCAGGTGCACAGAACTTCAACAGGTCACCAACACGTGCAGAAAATAATCAAGAAAGCTAATGGACTGCTTGCCTTTATATCTAGAGTGCTGGAATGTAAGGATACAGAAGTTATGCTACAGTTACACCGCTTTTGGAGTACTGTGAGCAGATCTGGGCACCACACCTTAGGAAGGATAAATTAGCCTTGGAGGGAGTACAATGTAGGTTTGCAAGAGTGATATCTGGACTTCAAGGGTTAATTTATGAGGTGAGATTGCACAAATTGGGCCCATTTTCTCCAGAATTTAGAAGATTAAGAGGTGGTCCGAATGAAGTTTTCAAGATAATAGGAAAAAGGGGAAAATAAAGATAAACTATTTCCATTGTTTGGGATTCTAGAACTACGGGGCATAGTCTGAGAATTAGGGCCGGAACGTTCAAGAGAGATTTTAGAAAGCACTACCACACAAAGGGTGGTAGATGTTTGGAACTCTCCCACAAATGGCAGTAGATGCTGGATCGGTTGTTCATTTAAAATCTCAAATAGGTAAGTTTTTGTTAAGGGAAGGTTTTAAGGGATTCAGCTAAAGGCAGTATATGGAGTTAGGCCACTGATCAGCCATGATCTCATTGAATGGCTGAAATGGATTGAGAGGCTGAATGGCTTATTGCTGTTCCTATGTTCCCATGTAGTAGCGACTGATGGTGAAGGAGTAGAACTAGGGACCCAGAAGCAGTGGATAGTGTACATGTTAGAAATCAAAGAAGAATAAAATGGTCATTAATATCATTACTTGCATTTTATGAGACTGCCTTTAGTTCTATCTTTTTGAGATAGGGGTACAGTTACAAATGGATCGCATAAACTCTTGGCAAAATACTGGCTGCATACAAAGAAAAAAAGGTCACTCACCCGGCCAACATGGTGTAAAGTAAAACACCCAGACTCCAGATATCACAGCCTTCATCATATCCTTGGCGTTTGAGAACCTGGACACAAACACTTCCACTTACATTTTATTCATTGTGATATACTACTATTTCTCAACAGCAATAAACTGAATGTTTGAGATTTAACTCTTACAAAAATTTATAGATATACAATACTTAAGTGATGAACCTAGGAGAATATGTCACAGGATAAAATGTAACTTTCCACAACAATAAGCCTATTCTACACTTTCTGGCCTGGATCAGCAACTTTGAACTATAATGTCCAAACCAGGAGCTGCCCAAATAAAGGTAGTTCAGTAAACTTTGACGTCTTATTCTTATTGCTTGTTTCCTGTTTGAATTACATGTGCCTAAGTTAGGTAACAGCTATACTTAGAGCCATTGCTTTATTAATTAATACATTTTGTCAGAGAACATCAAAATCTGTCATCATTAATAATTTAGATAATCGCACATTTATATGAAAACAGATTGATCTGGCACACAGACATCCAATTATGCATTTAACAAAGAAAACTAAAAGCTTCAAGTTACCATAAAAGCAAATTTAGTGCAAAATACTGGAAATCTGAAATAAAAACAGAAAATACTAGAAATACACAGCAGCTGCAGAGACAAATGACGGAATTTTAATATCAGTGAAGGGAGTTTCACCTGCTGGTTTAAGGGCTGAGAATAAAGTTCACGGGTGAGAGGAAAATTATGGACAGGGGAGTGGCCAGCAGCAAGGGCAGAAAAGTGGTGCTCAACATCCCAACTCCTTGCATGCTCTTCTTGATGCAAGGATCCTTAATCAACCACTGAATGCCTTTCAATGAGGGTCCCCCAGAAGCCCTGTTATTGCTTTCCAGAGCCACCCATCCACCTGCTGTTGCGTGAATATCAGTGGTGATGGGAGGAGGCCCTCATGAGGGTATTAATTTTCAACATATATTCCTCAATTTACAGCAGGACAGGAAGGCCACTGAAAAGCTTTCCTAAGGGTTTTTGTTGCACAGTGGTAGTGTATCTACCTCTGAGCCAGGATACTTGGGTCGAAGTCCCAATTGATACAGAGGTGAAAATAACATCTCTGAACATGTTGATTCGAAAATATCAAAAGCTTTCCTATCATGGACTTAATAGGCACTGCTGGGTAGGCAGAAGTAACACCAATTGCTGCCTAGCTGCCCAATTCAATGCCCTATCATCCATCAAACTCTCCACAGGGGAAGGCAGTAATTTTTGGCTAAGGTTTCTAGCTTTTTGATTTTTCTAGCTTTTTGACTTGCATATTGTTGTTGTAAATTGTTCTGTTTCCCTTGTAGGTGAGTAGGTAAACACACAATTCATGAATGCAATAAAGCTCAGAATGTCCAATTTAACTCAGGTTTGTGCTAAATCAGTTGATCTCAGTCAAAGTGACAATTAGGCTGAGCATCCCAGGATTTAGCATCCGAGGACTGCAGTGCCATGTGCTGAAAGTGAGCCATGTGCCTCCTACTAATCACCATTCAGTGCCATGCAAGTATACTCATGTACTCATCTATTTCTACATGTACTAAATGACAACAAAGTTTGGGTTCAACTGCAACACCCTTCACATCTAAATAGGCTGTTAACACTCACTGTTAGTCACAAAGAACGTATTTTTCTTTATTCATTCAGGGATATAGGCTTCACTGGCTAGGCCAGCATTTACTTCCTATTTTTGAATTGCTATAGTTTTTTTTTGAAGTAGGTATACCCACAATGTTGTTAGAGTGGGAGTTCCAGAGTTTTGATCCAGTGATAGTGAAGGAATAGCAATATCATTCCAAATGAGGATAGTGAGTGGCTTGGAGGGAAGCTTGCAACTAGTGATGTTTCCACATATACACTCTCATTCTTCTAGATGGTAGTGGTCCTATATTTGGAAGGTGCTGTCTAAGGGAGCTTTGGTGAATTTCTATTGTGCATCTTGTAAATGGTACACACTGTCGCTACTATGCATCAGGTGGAGAGGATGTAAGTTTGTGGATATGGTACAGCATTTGTCCAGGCAAGTGGGGAGTATTCCATCATAGTTCTGACTTGTGGCTTATAGATGGTGGATAGGCTTTGGGAAGTCAGGATGTAACTGTCTTGCTACACAGTTCCTGGTCTCTGATTTCTCTTGTAGCCACAGTGTTAGTCCAGTTCCTGGCCTATGGGAATTCCCAGCATGTTGATAGTGGGGAATTCAGCAATGGTAAGGCCTTGAATGTCAAGGAGCGATGGTCAGATTTTCTCTTGTTGAAGATGGTCACATGTGTGGCACAATGTTACTTCTCACTTATCAGCTCAAGCCTGGATATTGCACAGGTCTTGCTACTGTTGTACATGGACTGCTTTACTATCAGAGAAGTTATAAATAGTGCTGAATGCTGTATAATCATCAGCAAAGATCTCTCTTCTAACTTTATGATAGAAGGAAAATCACTGGCAAAGCAGTGAAGATGGTTGGACCCAGGGAAATCCTGCAGTGATGTCCTGGAGCTGACATGATTCATCTCCAACAACCATAATCATTTTCCTTCATCCTAAGAATGGTCAGCTTGGTAAGGTACTGGAGAGAAGGTTATGCCAAAATTCAGCAATACCTTTGAGACAGACTGGAAAGGAGAAAGCTGCCATAAAAAGGAGAAAAATAAACTCTCATCATGCTTAAAAAATTTCTCACCTCTGGAGCGACAAAGTTGGCTGTATAGCAGGGAGTCATTAGGAGTCCATTGTCAGCCCTCAGCTGCTTAGCAAAACCAAAGTCGCAGATTCGAATGGACTCAGGGTTACTTGACTCATCTACATACAAGATGTTGCTTGGTTTCAGATCTCTGTGAACCACCTGCAAGCAAGAACTATCTAATTATAGTTACTATTAAACAGGCAAAGTGTATGCAGAGAGCTGTTCAACAGATCAAATCATCTTTCAAGATTTTGTTCAAATATTTTTCACGTCCAGCAAACTAAGATGGCAGTGCCAAGAGTAAGGATTGTTTTCACTTTGGTCATCCTCTGAATAAATCACATCCAAATTTTGTGTATTCATTCACAGATGTGAGCATTGCTGACAAGGCCAGCAGTTCTTGCCCATCCCAGATTGTCTTTGAGAAAAATGGTGATCTGCCTTATTAAGCCACAGCAGTCCAGAACTCATGCAGTATTCATAATAAAGTAAACAAATTGACTGCGCAGATTTAAGTAAATAAATAGGATATGATAGTCATTACGGAGGTGGGGCTGCATGATGTCAGGAATTGGATCTTGAATATTGGGGAGTAATTGATTTTCAAGAAGAAAAGGTAGCTAAGGAAAGGTGAGGGTGAGCACTGTTAATCAAGGATGGCAATGGTGCAATAGGCCAGGGCTTATACACTTAATGGTAAGGTCCTAGGAAATGTTGCTGAACAATGAGACTTTGGAGTGCAGGTTCATAGGTTCTTCAAAGTGGAGTCCGAGGTAGATAGGATAATGACGAAGGCGTTTGGTATGTTTGCCTTTATTGGTCAGTGCATTGAGTAAATGAGTTGGGAGGTCATGTTGCAGCCGTGCAGGACATTGGTTAAATCATTTTTGGAATACTGCATTCAATTCTAGTCTCCCTGCTATAGGAAGGATGTTATGAAACTTGAAAAAGCTCAGAAAAGATTTACAAGGATATTGCCAGGGTTGGAAGGTTTGAGCTATAGGGAGAGGCTGAATAGGCTGGGATAACAAGGTGTAGAGCTGGATGAACACAGCAGGCCAAGCAGCATCAGAGGAGCAGGAACGCTGACATTTCGGGCCCAGACCCTTCTTCAGAAATGGGGGAGGGGAAGGGGGTTCTGAATTAAACAGGGAGAGAGGGGGAGGCAGATAGAAGATGGATAGAGGAGAAGATAGGTGGTGAGGAGACAGACAGGTCAACGAGGCGGGGATGGAGCCAGTAAAGGTGAGTGTAGTGGGGAGTTAGGGAGGAGATAGGTCAGTCAAGGGAGGACGGACAGGTCAAGGGGGCGGGATGAGGTTAGTAGGTAGGAGATGGGGATGGGGCTTGAGGTGGGAGGAGGGGATAGGTGGGAGGAAGGACAAGTTAGGGAGGCGGGGACGAGCTGGGCTGGTTTTGGGATGCGGTAGGGGGAGAGGAGATTTTGAAACTTGTGAAGTCCACATTGATACCATTGGGCTGCAGGGTTCCCAAGCGGAATATGAGGTACTGTTCCTGCAACCTTCGGGTGGCATCGTTGTGGCACTGCAGGAGGCCCAGGATGGACATGTCGTCTGAGGAATGGGAGGGGGATTTGAAATGGTTCGCGACCGGGAGGTGCAGTTGTTTAGTGCGAATCGAGCGTAGGTGTTCTGCAAAGCGGTCCCCAAGCCTCCACTTGGTTTCCCCGATGTAGCGGAGGCCACAACGGGAACAGCGGATACAGTATACCACATTAGCAGATGTGCAGGTGAACATCTGCTTGATGTGGAAAGTCTTCTTGGGGCCTGGGATGGGGGTGAGGGAGGAGGTATGGGGGCAGGTGTAGCACTTCCTGCGGTTGCAGGGAAAAGTGCCGGGTGTGGTGGGGCTGGAGGGGAGTGTGGAGCGGACAAGGGAGTCACGGAGAGAGTGGTCCCTCTGGAAAGCAGATAAGGGTGGGGAGGGAAAAATGTCTTTGGTGGTTCCCCTCCAGCCCCACCACACCTGGCACTTTTCCCTGCAACCTCAGGAAGTGCTACACCTGCCCCTACACCTCCGCCCTCACCCCCATCCCAGGCCCCAAGAAGACTTTCCACATCAGGCAGATGTTCACCTGCACATCTGCTAATGTGGTATAGTATCCGCTGTTCCCGTTGTGGCCTCCACTACATCGGGAAACCAAGCGGAGGCTTGGGGACCGCTTTGTGGAACACCTACGCTCAGTTCGCACTAAACAACTGCACCTCCCGGTCGCAAACCATTTCAACTCCCCCTCCCATTCCTCAGACGACATGTCCATCCTGGGCCTCCTGCAGTGCCACAACGATGCCACCCGAAGGTTACAGGAACAGCACCTCATATTCCGCTTGGGAACCCTGCAGCCCAATGGTATCAATGTGGACTTCACAAGCTTCAAAATCTCCCCTCCCCCTACCGCATCCCAAAACCAGTCCAGCTTGTTCCTGCCTCCCTAACCTGTCCTTCCTCCCACCTATCCCCTCCTCCCACCTCAAGCCCCAACCCCATCTCCTACCTACAAACCTCATCCCGCCTCGTTGACCTGTCCGTCCTCCCTTGACTGACCTATCTCCTCCCTAACTCCCCACCTACACTCACCTTTACTGGCTCCATCCCCGCCTCTTTGACCTGTCTGTCTCCTCTCCACCTATCTTCTCCTCTATCCATCTTCTATCTGCCTCCCCCTCTCTCCCTATTTATTTCAGAACCCCCTTCCCCTCTCCCATTTCTGAAGAAGGGTCTAGGCCTGAAACGTCAGCGTTCCTGCTCCTCTGATGCTGCTTGGCCTGCTGTGTTCATCCAGCTCTACACCCTGTTATCTCAGATTCTCCAGCATCTGCAGTTCCTACTATCTCTGAATAGGCTGGGGCTATTTCCCCTGGAGTGGCGGAGTTGGTGACCTTATAGAAGTTTATAAAATCATAAGGGGCATAGATAGGGTGAATAGCCAACGTCTTTTCCCCAGGGATGCGGAGTCCAAAACCAGAGGGCATAGATTTAAGGTGAAAAGGGAAAGATTTAAAAGGGACTTAAGGGCCAAATTTTTCATACAAAGGGTGGTGCATGTATGGAATGACCTGCCAGAGGAAGTGGTGGAGGCTGGTATAATTACAACATTTAAAAGGCTTCTGAATGGGTATATGAATAGGAAGGGTTTAGAGGGATATGGGCTAAATGCAAGCAAATGGGACGACATTAATTTAGGATATCTGCTCAGCGTGGACGAGTTGGACCGAAAGGTCTGTTTCCATGTTGTATGGCTCCATGACTCTAGTGACAGATGACTTTTGTTCAGGAGGTCAGGAGCTAGAATGGGTTTGGGTGGAGAGGAGGAATAGTCGGGGAAATAAATCATGCGTGGGAGTAGTCTACAGGCCCTCTAACAATAACCATAATGTAAGACGAAATATCCAAGAAAATATGTTAGGTGTTTGTGATAAAGAGACAACAATAATTATGGGTGATTTTAATCCACATATAAATTGGAAAAATCATATTGGCAATGGTAGTCTAAATGTGGAGTTCACAGAATGCTTGCAAGATGGTTTCTTGGAGCAACATGTTCAGGAACCAACCGGAAAGCAGGTATACAAAACTTGATATTGTGCAATGTGACAAGATTAAGACCTTACAGTAAAGGCATCCCTCGGTGGTCGCAATCATAATATGACTGAAGTTTATGTTCAGTTTGAAATTCAAGACTGTTATTTAAAAATAAAGGCAACTTTATGGGAATGAAAGCTGAACTAGATAAGGTGAACTGGGATGCACGCTGGGAAATAGATCAATAAAGAAAAAGTGGCAATCATTTCAGAAGATACTTCAGAATTTTATTGGTAAATTCTATTGGGCAAAGATGAGGTGGCAGGTCAGATGCTTGGACAGAATATACAGAATGACAGAATGACTAAAAGCTTAAACTAGAGAAAGAAATTAGCATAAAATGAAACTAGCTAGAAATGGAAAGATAGATAGCATGGGGTTCTATAGATATTTAAAAAGACAGTTAATAAAGTGAATGCTGGTCCTCTAGAAAGCAAGAATGGGATTATCATGTTAGTGAAGGAGATGGCGGATGAAATTAACAAATATTTCTTTCTCTATTCACTATAGAGGATACAAAAAAATTTCCAGTAATAGCTGTAAATCAGGAGACGAAAGGGAGAGAGGAACTTGGTGAAATTCACCAAAGATCCTTAGACAGCCCCTTTCAAACCCATGACCAATTTAATCTATGAGGATACATGAGAACATTACCACCTACAAGTTCCCCTCCAAACCACTCACTATTCTAACTTGGAAATTTTTCCTTCATTGTGGCTGGGTCAGAACTCTGGAATTCCCTCTCGAAAGGCATTGTGAGTCTACCTGCAGCACACGGACTGCAGCGGTTCAAGAAGGCAGCTTACCACTACCTTCTCGAGGGCAACTAGGGACTGGCAATAAATGATGGCCCAGCCACTGACACCTGCGTCCCACGAGTGAATAAAAAAATTGAAGCATTAATGAACAAACTGATGGAGCTGCAGGCTGACAAGTCTCCTGGTCCTATGGACTTCATTCTCAGGTCTTCAGATAGGTGACCAATAAGCTCATAGATGTGTTGTTAATTTTCTAAAATTTCCTTGATTCAGACTGAAAGTACCACATGTAACTCCTTTATCCAAAAAAGAAGACAGACAGCAAATAGGAAACTACAGGACAGACATCTGTTTTGGAAAGGTGTTAGAATCGACCATAGCTACACACTTAGACATCAACATAAATGGGAAGAGTCAGCATGGTTTCATGAAAAGGATATCATGTTTAACCAATTTATTAGAATTATGTGAAGGAATAATGTATGCTTGGATAAAGGAAAGTCTGTAGACGTACTATTCTTGGATATCCAGAAGACATTTGACAGGAAGTCACAAAAAAGGTCATCATATAAAGTAAGAACTCATGGTGCACAGGTTAACATATTCGCATGGATAGAAAATTAATTGGCTAGCAGAAAACAGAGTATGATGGACAGGATGTTATGAGTGCAGTCGCAGGAGTCTAAGCTGGGGCTCAGTCTTTTGCAGTTTTATATCAAAGGCTTAGATGAGAGGAGAGAACGCATGATAGCTACACCTGTAGTCATAGAAAAGTGCATTGTGGAGAAAACATAAGGAGGATGCAGATAGATATAGACAAGTTGAGCGAGTGGACACAAATCTGGCAGATGGAGTTTAATGTGGAAAAATATTAACTTATTCATTTCAGAAGGGAAAAAAAGGATAGTATTATATAAATAGAAAATGACTTCAGAATTCTGAGGTGCAGAGGGATCTGGGTGTTATAACGCAGGGGTCAATACATTTTTATTGAGGTACAGCACGTAATCTGGAAGGCTAATGGAATGCATTTGTTTATTACAAGAGGAATTCAAAAGTAAGAGCATTATGTTTCATTTATAAGGGCACTAATGGGACAACATCTAGAATACCATCAGAAGTGGTTTGGAGGGTATTTACTATATTGGTGCCTGGTCTGAGCAGGTTGTCTTATGAAAGTTGGACAGTCTGGGCTTATTTTCACTTGAGTTTAGAAGAGTGAGGGTCAACTTGATTGCAGTATACAATTTCCTGAACAGTTTTGATAGGTAGACGTGGAAAGGATGTTTCTGGTAGGTGAGTACAGAACAAACTGGTACTGTTTAAAAATTAAGGACAGTCCTTTTAGGATAGAGGTTGGGAGAACTTTTTCAGAGGGTTGTGACTTTGGAACTCTCTGCCTCAGAAGGTGACTGAGATGGTCATTGAATATTTTTAAGGAGGTCGATTTGATTCTGGTTAGGCAGGAATATCAAAACTTTTCAGGGGAAAGGACTCATAAAAAATTTACAAGGATGTTGCCGGGATTGGACGGTTTGAGCTATAGGGAGAGGCTGAATAGACTGGGGCTATTTTCCTTGGAGCATCGGAGGCTGAGCGGTGACCTTTAAGAGGTTTATAAAGTCATGAGTGGCATAGATAGAGTAAACAGGCAAGGTGTTTTCCCTGGGGTGGGGGAGTCCAAAACTAGAGGGCATAGATTTAAGGTGAGAGGGGAAAGATTTAAAAGGGACCTAAGAACATAGAACATAGAACAGTACAGCACAGTACAGGCCCTTCGGCCCACTCTGTTGTGCCGAACTTTTACCCTAATCCGGGTGATGCATGTATGGAATGAGCTGCTAGAGGAAGTGGTGTAGGCTGGTACAATTATAATATTTAACAGGCATCTAGATGGGCATATGATTAGGAAGGGTTTAGAGGGATATGGGCCAAATGCTGGCAAATGGGACTAGATTTATTTAGGATACCTGGTCGGCATGGACGAGTTGGACCAAAGGTTCTGCTTCTGTGCTGTATATCTCTATGACTCTATCTGAGGATTTGCAACGGCACTGAACATTGTGTAATCTTCAGTGAAGATCAGAACTTCCAGCATAGAAACATAGGAGACTGGAGCAGGAGTAGGCCCTTCAACCCCTATAGCCTGCTCTACCACTCAATAGGATCATGGTTAATCATCAGGCTCAATACTCCAATCCCGCCCTGTTCCCATATCCTCGATCCCTTTAGTTACAAGAGCTATAGCTACCTCTTTCTTGAAAACACAATGTTTTGGCCTCAACCACTTTCTGGAGTAGTGAATTCCAATGGCTTACCACTCTCTGGGTGAAGAAATTTCTCTTCATCTCAGTCCTAAAAGGTTTATCCCTTATCCCTAAACTATGACCCCTGGTTCTGGATTCCCCAACCATCAGTAACAGCCTTCCTACGTCTAACTTAGAGTCATAGAGTATTACAGCATGGAAACAGGCCCCTTGGGGTGCCCACTCAGCTAGTTCCAATTGCCCTATAGTTACTTCACTATGCCACAGCATACCCCGCAAATATAATGTGGGCGAAATGCAGTTTAAAGTTCTTTCAATACCTCCTGCAATGTGCTTTAGCATAATATCAGAATTTCAATCCCAATTTAACCAAAGACATTTTAATTTTCCACCCTTCACTCTTAGTCTTTTGACAGTTAATATAATACTATTTTATTTTGATAACTTTACAGAATGGGGATTGTGAGCAAAAAATTAAATTATTTAACTAAAATTTCAATTTTATCCCCAATATTTACATTAACAGTTGTATAAAAATTTAACTTCCCACTCAATGCTGTTAAAGTATTTTATCAATTTTTATCAAAATATCAGGCAACACAAAATTTAAATCGCTGCCTTGTACAACAGAACATGGCACACAAAATTAATTTAGGATCCAGTTGATTGGGTGTTATCAAATACAAACTCCTTGAGGAAATGCCCAATATTGTTAAGATGTACTGTAAGACATAAACATTAAGTACAGAGATCACTTACCCCTTGAGAGTGTAGATATTCGACTGTTTTGGTAATTGTATGAAGAAGAGCACTTGCCTCCCTCTCAGAGAAACCCTTCTGCTGCAGTATTTTATCCAGTAATTCACCACCTCTCATTAGCTCTGTCACCAGGTAGATATATTTACTATCATTGTAGACCTAGATACATATCACCACGACAAAACAAAAGAATGGTCAGAAAATCCTTTAATTGTTACATAATATGTTCAGTTCTTTCACCGTTGATCTATTTTTGAAATTATTATTTTCTGTTTGATTCTGTCTTATGGCTAGAAGATAGACTGAAACTGATTCACTAACGGATTTGTAATTAAGCACTCTTACACGTTCCTGGCCATTGATACCATAGTATGAATTACGCAACTGACCGCAGCATTTGTTCACGAGGGAAATTGCTCCTTGTTCTGAAAGATGGGAGCAGATACAGACTAATTTGCCTCAATGAGAGAGCAGGCTAAACTATTTTAAAAGCATAGTAGCAACTCATCAACTTTTCATGAAAACAGATTTCTTCAGAACCTCTGCTTTGCAAAATATTGTAACTATGAAATACTCTTTTTTAAAACTCATTTATTAATTATGTAGCAAATTATTCAAAAACAGTGTCAAAATTAGTAAATTAATTGTCTACATTTTAGGTGGAGGTGGTGGCATAATGGTAATGTTGCTTGACATGGATTCAAATTCTACAATGGCGGAATTTGAATTTATTAAAATCTGGAATTAAAAATTAGCCTAATGGCAACCATGTAATCACTGGCAATTCTCAGAAAAACCTACATGATTCACTAATGACATTTAGAGAAGTAAACCTGTCATTCCCGTGTCATCTGGCCTACATGTGACTCCAGACCCAAAGCAATGTGGTTAACTTTTAACTACCCTTTGAACAGGCCAACCAAGCCGCTCAGTTCCAGGGCAAAGCCTAGCCAGCAAAAGCCACACCCAATGACAAAATAAAAAATGGTATGGGAATGGTTTTATTCAAATGTATGATAATTCAAATGCCACCAAGATAATTAGAGAATTTAAATTCAGTTTTTTTAAAAAAAATTGTTTTTTAAAAAAAAATTCAAAATAGAAGTCTGGTATCAATAAACATAATTGCAAAACTGTCAGATTGTTGTAAAACTTCAACTAGTTTAGAGCATACATGTCTTCTAGTGGAGAATCCTGCCATTCTAGTTAACATACATGTCCACTTCACACAACCTGGTTTGTTCTTAAAGTCTCCTTGAAGTGACACTGTAAGTCACTCAAACCACTTTGCAACTTAGAAAAAAAAGTCACCCTTCACATGATAGCCACATCTTGAGAGCTAATTAAAATAAAACTGAAGCAGAAATAATAGACAAGAAATTCATACTTTGGTGCATTCCAGCATTCTATCTATTGTGGGTGAAAAAAAATTGAACTCGTCTCCATTCCTGCCACTTCCTTATCTGATGGTCATTCAGTTTTAGTTTCCAAGACCCTGCATAATTTTATCCAGTACACAGTTCAATAGGCTCAATTGTGGTTCTTGTGATGTAGTGTCTCTACCTCTGGGTGGCACAGATTCAAGTTCTACCTACTGCAGATGTTACAGAGTCATATGGCACGGAAATGCCGTATGTCAGTCTAACTCATCCATGCCGACCAGATATCCTAAACTGATCTAGTCCCAATTGCCAGCATTTGGCCCATATCCTTCCAGATCCTTCCTATTCATGTACCCATCTAGAAGCCTTTTAAATGTTGTGATTGTGCTAGCCTGCACCACTTCCACTGGCAGCTCATTCCAAACATGCACCACCCTCTGTGTGAAAAAGTTGCCCCTTAGGTCCCTTTAAATATTTCCCCTTTCCACTTAAACCTATGCCTTCCAGTTTCAGACTCCCCTACCCTGGGGAAAAAGACCTTGGCTATTCACCTTATCCCTGGCCTGCATGATTTTATAAACCTCTATAAGGTCACCTCTCAGCCTCCCACGCTACAGGAAGAAAAGACACAGCCTATTCAGCCTCTCTCTACAGCTCAACCCTCCAAGACCGCAACATCCTTGTAAATCTTCTCTGCAACGTTTCAAGTTTCACAACATTGTTCCTATATCAAGGAGACCAGAACTGAATGCTGTATTCTAAAAATGCCTTAACCAATGTCCTGTATAGCTGCAATCTTACATCCCAACTCCCATACTCAATGCACTGACCAATGAAGGTAAACATACCAAATGCCTTCTCCACCACCCTGTCTACTGCGACTCCACTTTCAAGGAACTATAAACCTGGGTCTCTTTGTTCGGCAACATTCCCCAGGGTCCTACCATTAACTGTATAAGTCCAGCCCTGGTTTGCCTTATCAAAATACAACACTTATCTAAATTAAACTCCATCTACCACTCCTCAGCCTACTGGCCTGTCAGATCAAGGTTTTACTGCACTCTGAGATAATCTTCTTCATTGTCCACTGCACCACCAATTTTGGTGTTATCAGCAAACTTGCCAACCATACCTCCTATATTCACATCCAAATCATTTACATAAAATTACAAGAAGCAGTGGATCCAGCACTGATCCTTGCAGCACACCACTGGTCACAGGCCTCCAGTCCAAAACTCAACCCTCCACAGCCACCCTCTGTCTCCTATCTTCAAGACAATTTTGTATCCAGTTGGCTGGCTCCCCCTGGATTCCACGTGATCTAACCTTGCTAACCAGCCCACCATTAGGAACCTTGTCGAATGCTTTGCTGAAGTCCACATAGACAACATCTATCACTCTGCCTTCATCAATCTTCATTGTCATCTCTTCAAAAAACTAAATCAAATTAGTGAGACATGACTTCCCACACACAAAGCCATGTTGACTATCCCTAATCAGTCCTTGTCTTTGCAAATGCATGTAAGTTCTTTCTCTCAGAATCCCCTCCAACAATTTGCCACCACTAATGTCAGGCTCACTGGTCTATAGTTCCCTGGCTTTTCTTTACCACCTTTCTTAAATAATGGCACCACATTAGCCAACCGCCAGTCTTCCAGTTCCTCATCTGTGGTTATCGATGATACAAATACCTCAGCAAGGGGCCCAGCAATCACTTCTGTAGTTATCCTGATCAGGTCGCAGGGAGTCATCCACATTTATGCATTTTAAGACATCTAGCATCTCCTCTTCTATAATTTGGAAACTTTTCAAGGTATCACTATTTATTTCCCCAAGTTCTCTAGCTTCCATGTCCTTCTTCACAGTAAATACTGACACAAAATATTAATTTACTATCTCACCCACCTCCTGTGGTTCCACACATTGACAGCATGGTTGATCTTCAAGGGACCCTATTCTCTCCTTCATTACTCTTTTGCCTTTAATGTATTTGTAGAATCTCTTTTGGATTCTATTTAACCCTCTTTGCCAAAGCTATCTCATTTTCTCTTTTTGCCCTCCTTATTCCCCTCTTAAGTATACTCCTACTGCCCTTATACTCCTCTAGGGATTCTCTCGGTCCCAGCTGCCTATACCTGACATATACCTCCTTTTTCTTGATCACAGCTTCAATTTCACTCATAATCCAGCATTCCCTATACCTACCAGCCTTGCCCTTTACACTAATAGGAACATACTGCCTCTGAAACTCTCGTTATCTCACTTTGAAGGCCTCTCACTTTCCAACTGTCCCTTTCCTGTGATTAGTCTCTCACAATCAACTTTTGAAAGTTCCTACCTAATACCGTCAAAATTGGCCTTACTCCAATTTAGAACTTTAACTTTTCGATCAGCTCTATCCCTTCCCGTAACTAGTTTGAAATTAATAGAAGTATGATTACTGACCCCAAAGTACCCCCCCACCCCAGTCACTTGCCCTGCCTTATTTCCCAAAATAAGGTCAAGTTTTGCTCCTTCTGTCATAGATGCATCCACATACTGAATAAGAAAATTTTCTTGCTCATGCTTAACAAATTTCTCTCCATCCAAGCCCTTCACACAATGGCAGTCCTAGTCTCTGTTGGGAAAGTTAAAATTCACTATCATTACTACCCTACTTTTCTTTTAGATATCTGAGATCTTTTTACAAATTTACTTCTCAATTTCCCATTGACTACTGGGGGGCCTATAGTACAATCCCGAAAAGGTGATCTTCCCTTTCTTATTTTTCAGTTCCAACCATATAACTTCACTGGAAATTCTCCCAGGAATATCCTCCCCAAGTACAGCCGTAACGTTATCCTTAACAGAAAAGTCACTTCCCCTCCTCTCTTGACTCGCTTTCTATCCTTCCTATAAGCATCTACACTTTGCAACATTAAGCCGCCAGTCATGTCCATTCATGAGCTACATTTCTGTAATAGCTATGATATCCCATTCCCATGTTCCCAAACATGCCCTGGGTTCATCTGCCTTACCTGTTGGGCATATTGCATTGAAATAACTGCAGCTTAATTTATCAGTCTTACGTCATTCTTGCCTGTCTTGATTATTTAACTTGCTCCTCTTCTCTCCTGTACCAGCTTCAGACTTATGTCTTTGGGTCCCTCCCCCAGCCTTATTAGCCTCCCGAGTATCACTAGCAAACCTCCCTTCCAATTCAGGGGCAACCCATCCTGCTCATACAGGTCCCTTCTACCCCAGAGCAGATCCCAATAATCCAAAAGTGTGAATCCCTGACCCCCGCATCAGCTCCTCAGCCACACATTCTTCTATTCCTACTCTCATTAGCACATGGCACCAGTGTAATCCAGATGTTACTACCTCGTGGACCTACTTTTTAAACACCTGCCTAATTTGCTGAGTTCTCTTTGCAGAACCTTGTCCCTTTCTCTTCCTATATTGTTGGTACCAACAATTTTCTACTTGCCCGTTTGAGAATATTCTGCACCCTCTCTGTGACATCCTTGACTCTGACATCAGGGAGGCAACACACCATTCTGATGTCTCACTGTCGGCCGCAGAAACTTCTGTCTGTGCCACAGAATGTCTGAACATGTGTGCCATAACATGTCTGAACAAGTTGATTAGAAATATCTTAAATAAGCTCTTTGACACAAAATATCAGTAGTTTGATTGGAATGGGCAGGAACTCAATTGAAGTTTGCAGTCAGTTGACATTGTTGCACTTTCCAGCAAGAGTTACTGAATAGATTTCTGGATTTCTATTTTCTCATCTTCAACCCAGGATGCCTATACAACTTTAATATGGAACTGCTGTCCTGGGTGAGTTTCTAACTCACAATGTTTATGCAACTAACTTGCATAACTCAGTTTCATAACAAGCAATATAAATGTTTAATAAGCTACAGGGAATTCAAATTACCTTTCATTTATCCTGAAATTTATCAAACACAGTATCACAATTATAGGTTTTTCACAAGGAAAATATTGTATGACTTTACATTTTTAGAATTTATATAATTTATGAAGTTTGTTCTTTTAGAAACTGTTTTTATTGTTAGTGCCTTATGCCCATTCAACAGGAGACAGTGCCACTCACATCTTTCAATGTAATGATGTTTGGATGCTGCCCATACCGCAACAGGATTTCAACCTCTTCAGAGGGATCTCTCTTGCTCTTCTGAATAATCTTCAGAAAAGAAATGTTAAGACTTAATATTGGATACTGTTTCAAGATACAGAGTCTAAATTCAACGGATATTTTGCCAAATGGAATAATCTTATATGGAAAATGCACGGGGACAACAAAATTAACTCCATTTTATTATGAAGTCATGGAAAACATGGACTGCAATTAACTGATGATCTCCCAAAGGAACTATGGTTGTATTACTAAGCATAATACAAAATTACAGTTTTGACAGTTAATGGCATAGAAAGCAAAACATGCCCTGCGGCTTTTGCATAACAACTTGGTGGTGCTTGTTTGTACTTAAGATATTACTGCAGGAATGCGAGGTAACAAAATCTACTTTAAATTTATACTCATCTTCTTTGATGACACCAGGTTAACTTCTGTGAATGACTGAGTAATCTGAACCAGGAAAAGTAAAAACTATTCTAAGGTACTACTGCTAATTGGCCAGCTTGTCTTGCCCATTATTACTATCTGTTTATTGCTGGAGATGAGTCTTGCCATTCAGCTCCAAATACACCTGGAGAGACCTTGATACTGTTACGACTTGCTTGACCAGCAAAAATCTCCCCAGACATTACACACTCTGAACAAGTAATGGGACATTTAATGGAGCTCTGTAACAGTATGCTGTACAATCTAAAACTTTAATAGTACTCTTTCACACACTTCA